AGCCGTCGTGAGGATCTATGCTAGTAGACTCCACTGCACTCTGAGCATAGCTATTTCTTCCTCAGCTACAGCAAGTGACAAATCAGTAAATGGCAGTGCAAACATTAGTCTGAGGACTGAAAGATTAAGTGTCAAGATGATGCATCAGTGCCCTGAACTGAAATGTGGGGCTCAGTTGAGGTACATTTTGTTATTATGGGAATTATTTGTATATATTTTATTTATTTCAAATACTTCTATTCCCAGAAAGTACCTCAGTAACATTAAGGTAAATTATTTTAAAGATTTATAAAAGTTGCCAACTTCCATAATACTGCATAGTGACAGTATAACAATAAATGACCAAAGAGCATTAGGGAATATCTCAGCATATCCTTTCCTTGGTATCAAGGATGACCTACATATTAGAGAGCATATTTTGCTGCCCAACAAAAGGAGCACAAGTCTCTTGTCTAATATCCATGAGTTAATTGAGAAGGCAAATCTGGAGTCTCCATTGGCTAGGATAGAATCTAGTATAATTAGGTAACCCAGGGAACCTCACATGTGCAATATAATGAGAACATAAGGGTGTGTGTACTAGTACAAAAAGAACATTTAATGGCCTTCGAGATCATCAAGCTCTCCGCAATTATTAACTAAAGAGCGCCTTACCAGTGATTTCTTAAATGTAAAATTCGCCCCTCCACCCCGGGTCTGGCCTCTTTTGTAAATGCACTATACTATGTGTCCTAAGTTAGACTCTAGGAACTCCACGGTCTTTAACTGCTTAACTTTAGACACTGACTGGAGCATTCTTCTCAAGCTCAGGTATGTTTTGTCTCTTATTTGAAAGATTAGTTAAAATATCTACTAGTTCAAAATTACAGTCTTAATCTTCTAAGTATATTGGACCTGAGTTACTGCAGATCAGGATCTCAGAAAGGCAAGAAGTGAGTGGTCAGAGCTTCTGCATTGTAATGTGTGTGCCCTTGAACTTGAGCTGAGGGAAACACACACAGCTGTGTTTGCAAGGAATTCCAGCATATGCTTGGGACAGAAGTTAACCCTGGATCTGAGGAAAATTCTACCAATGCCATAATGGCTTGGTGAAAATCATATTTGTAGTATCACATTTTAAGTAGAGGTTAGGTTCTAAAACCGGGTCAAAGGTAAACATCAAGAAAAGCCCACGATACTTCTGCAAATGTTTAAACTGCCCAAGAAGTGATGATATGCATGATTCAAATGTACGTATCAGGGTCATGCTGAGTTGTTTTCCAAACAATAGAAGCAGGGTATCGTGTCTTCAGCTGGACACAGATGAAGTTCTTTTGTTAGATGTGCAGCAGACATTCTTTAGTTTTTTTCTAAAGAAAAGATAGAGGAAGGGAGAAAACCTGCATATATTGGCAGGCACATTGTATCTTAGACTATCTGAGGTGTCAGATTCACATCTTCCATTGTAGGCTTCAGATTCACAGATTCACATCTTCCATCTTAGGCTTCCTTTGCTCGCTGGGACTTAAGCTTACTCAGTACAAAAAGGCAGATTCCCTGTACCACTGAAGTTCTTTCTCTCTTTGTTGTTCTTTTTTCTCTCTCTTCCTTCTCCCAAACTTATCTTCCCTTACCTGTTATCCTTCATTTTTCTTCACTGTACACATTTCTCAACAGAGAAACTGATTTTGCTCATGAAGTAGAAACAGAGGGGTTATTAAAAAGAAATCAGGTGATAACTAGTGCCGTGCTAAGGTAAAGTTCAAGAAGGAGAAATGATAACGAGGAGACGAAAGGACAAAACAAACTTGGTTTCATGAAGTGGTCTCTGTGGGAAGACTATGTGAAATCCAAAGCAGCATTCACATGCAAGGTGTAGCTCGCCTGGGGTTGGGTTTGTGACTGTTGGAAGGCTTTGTTAAAATGGCAGTGTACAGTCCTGAGTCTCATTTCCCAGACTCTGAAATGTAGACTGAACATTAGGTACAAATTCCTTTGGTAAATTTCTAAGTAGAGTAAGAGAACATGCCATGTCCTTAATAATTTTAGCTTCAGAAAAATTATACTTTCTGAGATCAAGAGAAAGGTCAAGAGAGGTACATTCTGTGGCATTTTTAGAGTTATCGTTCACCCGAAATTGAACCTCTGCTGTATGCAAGGTGTCAGGATACAAAGGTATCTCTAAAGGCATTCACAGTTGGAAAGGTATCACAAAGAGCGTTCTGGAAGAATTGGATGTCACTAAGGCTGCTTGGAGCAAAAGGAACAACAGTATTTCTTAGTAATCATCATACACATAACAGACCAATGAGATGCATCTAATTCCCAAGAACACTAAATAATCAAAGCTTCTGGGGGATCACTTGGACCTCTAAGAATTATGTACTGAAGCAGAATGACTGGAGAAGAATATTGATCTTTAACTACATCAAAGAAATATATTTATTGAAAGATGTTTATAAAGTGAAAATTTTGGAACATGTGTTATGATTCCCAAATTTGAAACAAAACTTTAAAAATTTTAGACTAGTGAAAGTTAAGTAGCTAGTGGAAATCATGTTGAAATGATTTTAGATTCAGGGAATTTGTATAAAAGTATTGAGGTAGCGATTAATTTTCTAAGGGTGATCTAGAGGGATAAAAATGAAAAAGGTTTAACACATATTGTACAATGACTGATAGAGTATCTTAATCATCCTGTGTAAATATCCTAAGAGGAAAAGAATAGAGGCTAATTTTTTTGTTGGATTCTGGAGTGTTTTTTTAAACCTATTTTAATTTGGATTTATGTTTATGGCAGTAAACGCTTAATAATTGGCTCCCTATTTTTTCTCAGGAAAAATAAAATACAAAAATCCCTGAGTTGTTAATTTTTGTAGTATAAATATTTCCACGTGTCTGATTTCAGGCTACTAATGTGCAGCTCCTGGGTGCAAAGGTGAGAAGGGATACACATGATGTGTTCTTGCAAACCAGTGTAGGTCAGGTCCACCCTCCTTCTGCTTATGTTTAAAATTATAGCAGGAGCTAGTGGTGACTTGTCAAAACACCTAACAATCTAAGCTTGACAAATAGTGCTCTCCCGTTGGTCAGCCAACAAGCCTTAAAGTAAGAGAATTAAAAAACCTAGTAGTTCAAAGTATGAAGTAAGGAGGGGAATTAGGTTGAAGGGAGGGGAGGAGAGTGGAAAAAAAATGAAGCAAGATATATCATGCACATATACAAACTCCCTATGATGAATGAATTCCCTATGATGATCATTATATATTTCTAAGATGTACCAATAAAATCATAAAAATATGAATTTCATTGTACAGATTTTATAAGGCACTATAATATTTAGACAATATTAAACAAAAGAAGCTGTAATTACCCAGAGAGGTACTCTTACTTCTTATCACTTCATTTGTTATAACACCAAATATCTATAAGGCTCACACCCCATGCAGGGAACTCTTAGATACATCAGTTTATTTCATCTTCAACCACAAATTGGGTTTATAGTCAGCAAATTAAGGTACAGAGAAGCCATCTACTCACAGTCACCCTGTGGGCACACGGTAGTGTAGGATCTCTAAAGAATACATAATCTGCCTCCAGAGGAGCTGACCTTAAATACTGCACACACTGCCCCTAAAATTGTTTAGAAAGAAAGCTATAAGAAAGATTTAGTGTAAAGCTAAGAACACCAGAGTGAAAGTCCACATAGACTGGAAGTATAGTCTAAACTATGAGCTGAAACAGTGACTTAGAAAAGCAATAAACATCACTAATAAAGGTCTTCCTTAATTTCTCCCATTCTGTAAGAAAAAATTACCATCAAAAAATTATTGGGTGAAATTTGTAGTTTACTACAGTGATATCTTTTGCATAATAACAAATTAGTACATAGAAATTATTGTTACTGGCAACTAAGTGAAAAATGGTGGATGTGTGATTTATTAACCACTTTAATTTATACTTTTGTGGGTGAAAATAAAGGGATGAAGATAATAATTAAGCAATATTTCAGAGGAAAACCAATTGGCTTTAGAAAGCTGAAGAAATTCCTCATTATTTCCACTGTAGGGCTTAGCCAAATTTTCTCCAGAATCATTAAGTAATGCTGGGGCTGAATTGCCCTTTGATTTAATCTATTGGTGTAAATCCTCCTAAATCTCCCAACCAAAGCTGATAAGAAGGGATTGTTTGTTTATACACAGGATGTGAAATCCTTCACTTTCATAACTGAGATGCATTCCTGTGAGAAGTCAGAAAGTTCGCAGCAGCCTCACAATTTGTCTGAGCATGAAGATGGGATTTCTAAGTTTCTGTTTTCTTTCTGGAATGTTCTTCTGGTGGTTTCCCACAAAGTGACCACTCACACATCACATTTTTCTGTCATCTTTTAGGGCGCTTTCAAATATCATCTCTGCCTGGGTTACTTTCTGTACCATTTATCTGCTTTAGCTTCTAATAAAACTTCTCATTGTGTCATGTTATTTCTGTGCTTATTAATTTATTCAATGTCTGTCATCTCTACTAAACAGAAAGTAGGGCTTTCATTTGCTTTGTTTACTGTTGCAGCCACAGTATGCAGAACAGTGGAGGCTCACAAAATATTTGTGGAAGGGTGTGGGAAGGGTGCCAGTTTTATGATATTTAGAACCAAGGCAGTCATTTGTTATGGGTAATGTACCAGATATACTGATACCATCAACTCATGCCTCATTGTTCATTTAAGGTTTATAAAAAAGCCCCATTATTTCCAACAATACAGATTGCAATAGGATTAATATTCCATGCTGAGAGGCCAATCTAGTCCACAAACAATTCAAAGAAAACCAATTTGTTCCATTAGCAATCTATTGAAAATAAACCTCTTCCTTTCATCTTATTAGCTATATATGGTAATCATGTTTATATTGCATTGGGGGATTAGAGAGATGGGAAGTAAATCATCTGCAGGGTTTTTAAGCAATTACATGTTGTGTATTACCGAGGACATTGCTAATTACTTTAATAAACATTTGTGCACTGACCTCTTTATCCCGCTGAACGTTTGCGCATGACCTAAGAATTTTCCAAAGTCGATATGAAACATGTGGCCTGACTTTGTCAGCATGATGTTGTCATTGTGACGATCACAGACTCCCAGGATGAAGGTTACCACGCACCAGCCAGCACAGGAATAAAAAAAGTTCCTTAAGGCCTAATCAGTTAAAAAAGAGTAACATGAAAACACAAGAAAAAGGGAGAAAAATGCATTAGCATGAGGGGTGATGAGAGAAAGTAAAAGAGAAAAGCAAAATTACATAATCAAGGACAATTTTTACAACCAGTGGAAAGATGGATATGAATATGTAGTTTATCTTGGGATGAGATAGAAAAACATGAAACCTTTGGCTCTTGTTGTTTTTCATTGAAACTGAAATTGGGAAAACTATTTCTCATTCATATGGAGCTAATTCTTATGGTTTATTGGAGAGGATTCCTGGCGTGATCTTTTTTTGATACTTCAGATATGCAACAATCAATGATTGTTTGCAAAGTAAAAAAAAGCAAAATACATGTAGCTTAAACTTCCTCTCCCCAGAAGCAACGTTTAAAATATGAATTTTTACTGTGCCTGTAAAATGAATTTTTACCATGCCTATTCGGGAGACTGAGGCAGTAACTTCACCATGATATCCAGGCTGGCCTGGCTACATACTGAGTTCAAGGTCAGCCTGAACTATATAATGAGACCCTGCCTTAAAAGAATAAAAAAAATTTTGGGGGGGGTATTTGAAGTTTGGGGACAAAAATCTATATAGAGAAATTTGTAATATTTATGTTTATCCTTATAAATAGGTCATCCAAGTTGGGTGTGGTGGCACACACCTGTAACCCCAGCCCTAGACAGGATCAGGCAGGAGGATCCCTATGAGTCTGAGGCCAGCCTGAACTGCATAGTGAAACCCTGTCTGAGAAAAAGCAGGTCATCCATTGATGTCTGAAGTGTTCTGGTATAGTATATGTTAGTGAATGCCTGTGTGGTAAGAAAAGGATTAACACTAAGTTGATTATAGCTTATATTTCTTATACTGAGAAGTTCCTTTCTCAAGCTAGTCTTTGGCTTCAAAATGGTCTTCTAGTCATATTACAAGTCCCTTGTACCAGCCTAGTGGTGTCACCATGGAGGATTGGTGGCACTGAGGTTCCTGGTCTCTCACAACGGCAGATCGACGCCCTGGAGTAGAAGGCTGCGTCACTTTACTATACACAAAGATGCTTGGCTACCTTTGTTCCAGATTTCTCAAGCGCTTGAACAAGTCGCTTGACTTGTCTGTCTAGAATTTCTTCACTTACAAAATGTATGTTCTGCACATGGTGGCTGTCAAGAGCAAATGTGTGTGGTCACAGCTTGAGCCACATCAAAAGAGGAGGTTGTGCAAAACTCAGGTTGTTTTTTTAGCTATTGCCACTAACTTTGGGAATAGCTCCAAATGTAGATTTCCAGATAATCTCGTCTAATTCTTTGTTATCTGGCCTCTAAAATTAGGGAATGAATGAAAGAATTTGTGGGTCCCTTTATCACAGTCCATGCTAGCTGGGATGAGCTGTCATCCTTGTTTGCCTGGAACTGAGGAGCTTCTCAAAGTGAAGGAATTTCACCACCTGCAACAGTTCCCAGTAAATCTAACGCACAAATTACAATGCTGCACTTTTCTGTGAATCAGCATACAGGTGCCCCGGGTCTGGGTAACCCATCTCTGCCAGTTGATGGCTTGGAAAGTAGAATAAGTCTTGACTTAAGCCACACTTCTGCCCTTCTTCCAAGAGCCCCGGTAGGTATAGGGCAGAAATTACACAAAGGTAAGTTGCAGGTCAAATGCTAGAATCATGTTTTCAGTACATTTTGCAAAATTCATATAATATATACAATTATTTTGCATTCTGCAAACCACTTAAAAATGGCAGATGAAAAACTAAAGCATGGCAGAAAAAATATTTAAAGAAGAAGAAAGGTCATTTATAGAAGCCAGAGGTTGTGTACAAATAGGTGGAAATTACTTGAAGAAGCGTCAAGGGGCACCACCTCTGGAAAGACAGCTGTAAGAAAGGCAGTTGAACAAAGAGATTCATTATTGATATCCTGGAACTTCCCCCACTAGGAAATGCAAATGCAGGAACTTCTGTCTATTTAATATGCCATTTAAAAAGTCATTATTACTAGTCTGATGACTAAGTGAAATTGGAACTCAAGGTGTACTTAATTTACTTTCCCATGAATCAGACTAACTAATGAACCAGAGCATATTTAGAATTAGTTCTGGCAGGACAAACCTTTTCATAATCTGCCTTGATGTGGTTGTGCTGACTGAACCACTTCTTGATGGTATTTTCTTTCAGCGGTCCTATGAGTCCAGAATGGCGATGGATCTTCGCAAGGGTTACGGCATCAGGTACCATCTGTACCAAACCTGGTTGATAAAAAGGAGATTATTATGGGGTTAATCATATCCCTTAGTTATTGTGGCCTGAGCAGGTCCACAATGTACTGAATGAGTGTACAGCAAAGGCTAAATAAAGAGAGGCAAATGGAATGATTTCAGGGCTCCAGAAGGATCACAGCCTTCTCACAAATTCATCATTCTCTCAGGGCTAAGACCACGACCTTCTCTGGGTTGCCCATATTTATTTGGTTATCAGAAGAAGGGAGGGGAGTACTCAAGAAGGGCAGAAGCACTCAAGGATTTCTCTAAGTGAGGTATGAAGTTAATCCACTGAAGAATGAGATGCCTGCGGCTACAGTCTTCATCTAGTTGAGATCTGACCCAGGTGTCCTTGGCTGTGATCTTGTCTTGTCCTTTGAGGCTTTCTGGCTTCACTCACCACTAGAGGTTCTAGTAGGGATTAGTGACTCACAGAGGTTCACTTACTTTTCCAGATAACGAGCCTTGGCCTTGGACAGATTCACAAGTGAACACGAGAAACCAACTGGTTAATATTAAATCCTGCTCAGAGCCACTTTGCAGTGGTCTCCAACAGATGATGGAAACAATTCTTTCCTCACAGCATGAGGGACACTTAGGAAATACATCTTCATCTTAGCAACAACAGTAGCTTTCAACACTACTTGGATTATTACTCTTTTCCTTTCCAAAGCTTTTTTTTTTTTTTTCTTTTTTTGCAGAAGATCTATCTAGATGGGCTTTTTCCTAAATCTTGGGGATTTTTGCAGCTACTTGTTGGATTTTAATCATACCTACCAAAAGTAGCTTTAAATATTTTTTTCTAGGACTATGATGGAGACCCAGTCTAATTGGTCTTATAGAGACAGTCCCAAGTCAATAGAATCGTGGGCCAAGAATCATATTGCTGAGATGTTCATTTACAGTTTAATGGAAAACACTGAAGCTGGTTTAATAAGCACATTCCTGCCTGCAGTGAACCAAATGCATTTTTCATGACAAACATTTCAAATACATTATAAAAATCAATGTTCAGGTTAATAAAAACTTCCCAGTTAAATGTAACATTTTTGGAAGTGAACAGAAAACTCTGAAGTAAATAGGTAAGGAGTCATCTACTCCTTGATTCTCAGGAAACATTAAAGGAAAACTACAAAAATGTACTTTTATAAAGCAGCCTATACTGACTGAACTTAAGTAGAACCTGTATCCCAATGGTTATGCATCCATCAAGGCTTTTTTTTACTGTACTCGTAAAATAAGTAGCATCAAATATTCTTGATCTTTCTGACTTTTAGTCTACATGAAACACAACTCAAAATAAGTACTTAATACTCCCCTAGGATGAAAGTCCCAAAACAACCCTCAATGCATATTTTGATAAATAAAATCATTGAAATACATTAAAATCTAGAGTGCCTGATTTTCGCACTAGCACAATTACAAGAGTTGCAAATTTAAATACCCAGAGGAGCCAGAGACACAAATGTAACTATGAATACAGAGATGGTTGAGTTTTAAGAAGTTGAAAATTTTTTGAGCAGTAAATATCCAATAAGTCCTGGAACTTGATTAAAAATACAACCTAGTCTCTTAAAAGTAACATTTATTTTAATAATCTCTATTTTTCTTGAAGTGTTCTGTCAGTGTAATGCCCTCCAAAATCCTACAACCATAGGTTTTTGGTAGAGAAAAAATAACTTCTCTTATGAGATCTGCAACTCTGGAGAAGCCTACAGTTATTTTTACTAAGTCCTTTTATTAAACTTAAAAGATTTTGACACAATTACAGTCGGTGATTATAAACAGATACAAGTAGATGGAATTGAAGGATTCCACTGGGATCAGGGATTTATTCAATTTTGGAAGAAAAGGTGATCTGTGTAACACCAAAAAGCTCAGCCTGGATCACTTGATTTTATTTTTACTTTTTTCAGCATATTGGGCTCTGAGAGAATAGGACAACAGGTGAGACAAGGAAAGCAGAACACATTGAATAACAGTTGCATGGTAGCAGTGATAAAATATTTTTTCCTGGGAAACTAGAGCTTTAGAAAGGGCCTACATGTGAGCCATTTGGCATGGTATTAAGAGCTCTACTATCAGAATAAAAATGATTAGGTCGCATTTTATAGAGGAATTACTGTGATGTATCAAGTTGCAAGTTAAGCTAGCTGGGAGGTGCTTCAAGATTTGCATCTAACATCTCCACTCACAATTGACCTGGGCACTGAGTCTGCCAGTGAGACCTCAGGAACTGAGGAATCAGGTAGAGACAGTTTTTTTTCCAGGATAGGTTTTAAACTGTAGTTCTGCTTGAATTAAAAAAATAAGATTGAACACTGAGTCTAGGTCCTTTTCCAGGTTTGTGGTTCTGTCCCTTTGCTTACACACATGCATCTGCTATACTTTTGCTAGTTAATTGAATGAAATTCTAAATCATTATGATCATGTGCAGAAAAGATTATGATGTTTTAGGAGTTGTTTATTCAATGTATAACTGCAGTATTTATCTGATGGTTTGATCATAATTTTGGTGGACCATGGACATTACTTTTATTAGAAATGTGCATAACTGTAATTATACTTCCACACAAATTTGTTGGCTTTTGTAAAAGAAAAGAAATACTGAAGCATGTTCAATGTTTACACTTGTGGACATTTTTTCCTGTTGATATTATACCTATTCAAAAGTCTTTTACAAATTAAATGCAGGTCTATAACGTGTTTAGGACTTTGAGTCTGTTTTGCACATTTGAAAATGTGTAAAATTTGTGTGAACAGCCAACAACTGTATTTTTTAAGTGGTTGAATATTTCCATTTACAGATGATTCCCAACTTAGCAATGGTTCAACTTAGAGTTTTCAAATTTGCAGTGACACAAAAACCATAGGTATTCAACAGAAATTGAACTTCAAACGTTAAGTTTTGATCTTTTCCTTGACTAACAATAGGAAATGTGGTCTTGTCTTGTAAGAGCTGGCAGTATGGTGAGTCACAGCTCCCAGAGAGGTGCTGATCACAAAGGTATGTAATGCTACTTGTCAGTGTACTCTGCTGCTGTGCTATTATATTTGGTAGGTCAAATGCGTGCATTTTGACTTACTATATTTTCAACTGATGATGGGTTTATCAGGCTGTGACCCCACTGTAAATGGAGAAGTGTCTATATTACCTTAGAAAAATGAGAAAAAAAATCTCATGAAGACACCTGAAAGAACAATACAGTTAGCATGTAGATTGTGAATGTCCTAAATGATATCTAAAACCTTATGATTTACATAAATTTTTTTACTTTTCATTTTGGAAATTATTCTTTTAGAAGAGAAGAATTGGTATGGCCTTTTGAATTTGTATTCTGAAATGAACACTGTAGAAAGTTTACCCCTGAATGTGTGACATAAGTAACATAAGTCCGTTGACTTTTGAATCTATACTGACCTTGGTTTTTTCCTGTAGATAGACATCTATAAATGATCATTTGCATATCTAGACCTTCTTGTAGCCAAATGTTGTCTATCACTTGAACAATCTGTAGAACAAGCATATCCTGGCGAAGATCATCTCCAGCCTGCTCAAAACAAAATTATAAGCTCTGGTTTTTCCTTGAATTTCATTCAAACCATTCAAATATGGTATATTTCATTTCTTTCCTTGGATAAATTTCCAGCCTGATTTAGGATGGTTTCTTTTGTTTTAACAGTACCAAGAATACCTTATGTTCCTGATAGATGCTCAAAGAGAATAAGAACTTCCTCCTAAATGATCACAGAAACCACACCCCTCAAATTAGAGTGTTGTCCCTGATAATAGTTTTTCAATAGCATCCACATATAATTCCTTAGTCTGAAAGTCTAGTGAACAGAAGCTGAAAAGATGTTTTCAACCAACAGAGATCTTTTTTTCTTATGTGAAGATTGTCTGGTGTGATAAAAACTTATCCACCGATATGCAGTAGAACACCAAGAGTTCTTAACTAGGAATATATATAGCATGCATATGATTCAGCAGACTGTGAGTCAGTGATTTCTCCTATTTTGGAGGCAGTTTTCAGAGAAAATTGTCTTTGATAATAATAAAAAATAACAAAGAGATAATTTTCTAGCAGAGGTGAAGGAAAAACAATATGTTCAAAAAAGATTCTGTGCTTTTAAACAAATAAGGAATTTGATTTAAAAATAGTTTCTAAATTAAGCATGAAAAATTCTGTCAAGGTGGGATTTTGTGGGTTTTTCCCTGCTTCATGAAATATAGTAGTAAGGCACTATTAATGTTTTGGTTACACCAGTGAAAATAAAAGTGGCTCTATTAACCCTCATCCTCAAAAATAGAATCAAAGTTTACAGAGACTCACTTTGGGACCTTATTAAATAATTGACAAAATAAAGAGATGATCGGCAAATTATTATTTACTACAGTTCCTTTATTAATTCCTGTTTCTTTCATGTCTGTGATACATCACATCACTTTGGTCTCATGGGATTTTTCCATGGATTCTTGATGAAGACTGAACTGGTTCTATTCACTTTTTATTTACAAAGAAAAACATCCAATTAACTAAAATAAGCAAGTACTTGTAGATAAAAAATTTATGTTAAATTAACTTATGTCATTTGAGTTCCAGTTAATTTTGATCCTAATTCAGTAGTTAGGCTAAAGGAAAATGCTACTCCTAAGGCCTTAAGCCATATTCCCCTTTTGGTGACAATCCAAGTGATCATATACGTTGATTTGATGAAACGTATTCTGTTAAGTTTTGTACCAAAGGTTTGTTGGCATTGAGCCAGTAATGTTTGATTCATTGCCAATCATAGTTTGGCATGCACTATAATTCTATAAAAAGTCAGAATCTAAAATCATTGGGAAACCTCTCTGCTGTTCCAGAGGAAAATAGCTGCAATCATTTCTTTTTGTTATTAATAAATCAATAGTTCTGCTTATGGAGTCAGTTTGATTCTTTATGAGGGCTACCATACCTTAAAAATAATGCTGATGTTTGTGCTCATTGGATTAGCGTTGATGAAAGTAATCTTCAGTGGCAAAGCATTTGATGTGAAATATGAACATGCCTTTAGGAAGAGAAGAGGAAAATGGTGAATAAAATAAAGCAAAAACAATGCCTTTTGTGCAGTCATGGTTCTTTGCAGAATTTTTTATGTGAACAAACACACATGAATACTTTGGAACAATGAAACATGTTTATTAAAAGCAAGCAAACAAATTTCAGCCTATCCGTCAAAGTCTCTGCAGCATCCATTTTTCTCCATCATTCTATTTCTGTAGATTTAGTTACCTGTAGTCGATAATGATTGAAAACTATTAAATAGAAAATTCCAGAAATAATTCATAAATTTTAAATTGCACATTATTCTGAATAGTGTGATGTGATTTTGCACCATCCCATCCATCTGCTCAGTGGGTGAAGAATTCTTTAGTGTGTTGTATCCACACTGTATATGCTACCTGCCTGTAAGTTAATTAGGAGCCAGCCTAGTTGTTACTTTGGCTATTTTGGTACGGTATTGCAGTGCTTGTTTTCAAGTAACCACCTTTTAATGAATAATGCCCTCAGCATCCAAAAGTCTCAATGTTGGCAATTTTATTACAGGATATTGTTATTTCATTCTATTTATTTTTAGTGATTATCATTAATCTCTTATTGTGGCTAATTTATCATAGGTATGCATTGTATTGCAAATCTTTAACTATATTTTTTCCCCAATAAGCAATAATGAGAAGTTCAAGGTCTAAATAAAATAAGCAATATGTAGGTATTATGTTTATGCTAGTTGGTTAATAGATGAAAGTTAAAAATGTTATTTCCTTTCCATTATTTCTGCCCTACAGCACATTTGAAGTAAACACTGATATAGAGTTCCAAAAAAAGACCTGAATTCAAATTTGGGCTCTGTAACTTATCAGCTCTAAGACCTCAGGGAAGTAACTTAGCACATGTGTTTCTCACTGTAAAATAGAGATAACTCCTATCTCATATATTTTGGTAACAAGCACATGAGCTAATGGATACAGAATACATTTTACCCTGTGTGACACTAAGCAGGTAATTTGAAAAATTTATACATTTCTTCTTCCTTTTTTGCTAATGAACAGTGTCTGTAGAAATAAAAGGACAATGTTTATTTCTTTGTCTTATGTCTTTCAATTACATTTTGTATTTGGATTTTCAGCTTTTTGACACTGACTACTTTCCCTGATGCTCACTGTCCTACAACTATCTGAGTGCTGTCAGGCTGTATGTGTTTGGGTTACTACAGAGCTCATATGGAAAGCAAAGAGTTAAATTAATATTGAAGAAAAGAAAGGGATTTGATGCTTTCAATTTATCGACTTAGTAAAATATGATAGTGACACATGTTGAAAGGTCAGTTCAAATATTATCTCTGAGATGTGTGGAATTGGTATAAACTGACAACAAAGGAACAATTTCTTAACTTGTCAATAAAAAGCTAATCTAATCCTTGACCAAACACAAACACTTGCTTACTGAATCAGATTGAGTTTTTTAGTTTCATGGGCAAGACTGCTTGTTGAACATGAATTTCTGCTGTAGAAATCAGTTAATCAGGGATCACATGATATTGTCATTGGATAGAATTCAGAAATCTTATAGTAGACAAGAAATGAATCTAGATTAGTACTTTTCAAACTCTGCACAACCTATGCATGAAGAGCCCTTAGAAGTATCCCAAGTTTAGGGAAGGAGCATACATAAAAAGGAGGCTGACAGCAAGGCTTAGCCCCTCTATTTAAGTATCATTCAGAGCTACTCTACTTTCAGTGTTTCATTTCTTGGTTTTCACGTGCAGTATATTTTTTGAGAGCCATGTCAAAAATATCATACTCAACTAGGATGTGTAAACCGCTATCTATATGCTAGCAGAAAAAAACCATTACATTTTTCTCCACAAAATCCACAAAAATGGTATGAAAATATTTACACGTGTATTATGTTGAAAACAACTCACCAGGAAGTTTATCAAAGATGGAGGAAGAAGTGTTTCAAGAGAGAAATCTTTCAGAGGTGAACTTGATCTCGAAGATTATAAAGAACAGGGATTAGCAAGTAGGGAGAAGAAAAAATTTTCAGGTGGGAAAAGCAAACAAGAGACTAAGTTAGAGTAGATGTTGAAAAATGACCACAGCAAAAAGACAGGAAGGAGTGAAGCAGGCTTGCAAAATGGGTTTATGCAAATGATGAGGAAGGAAAACTAGAAGATTAAAAATTGAAACAGGGAAGGAAAGATGTGCCTTCTGTCTTTGAGAAGCACAGATATTCATAGATCTAAAAATAGTTGAAAAAATAAATAAAATGTCTGTTCCTTGGTTTTTCAATGGCAAAGAAGGGTTGTATTAAGTTTCTCTCAACTATCCCACCTGGTCTATCTGTTAGTGACTCAAACAGAAACAGGGAGTGATCAGCTGTATTCAGTGGTTTCCAGGGGGATGAGGTTGAGAGTTCTTCGCGTAAAGAAGAGTTAACTGAAACCTGAAACCTGGCTCTCTACGTTTGAGAGGTATGATTTAGGAATGGATTGAGCCAGTCCCGAGCAACTGTGTCAGTGTAGACAATTGATGGTGCAGGAACTTGACTAAAGCCTTTTCCACACTCGCTGTGATTGGAAGACTTCTCTCTAGTATGGACTCTAGGGTGCGGTAAGCTGTGAACTCGAATGGCTAACGTAATCATAACAGCTTTCCTATGTCCTTGCATGAATAAGGTTCTCCCCAGAATGGTTCTCTGATGTACATTAAGACTGCCGCAATAGCCAAAACCCTGCACTCACACAGTTTACTGGCAGTGGGAATGCTTCACGGTGAAATGAGGTGAGTTTTGAGTACAGAGCTTTGGTGCTTATTCCACGTATAGAGCTTTTGCCTGTGTGAAGTCTCTGACACAGAGCAAGACATTTACTCTGATAGGATGCCTTGCCCCACTATGTTCAGAAGATCTTTCTCTGGTATGAGTTTGCCCATAGCAAATAAGTTAAACATTTTGACTGAAGGTTTTTTCCCCCCAAACTGTCAGCATTTATATGCTTTTCCCCTAATGTGGCTCAGATGTTAAATAAGAAGTTTACTCCAGGTATTGAATATACATTATACTCGGAAGGCTTCCCCTTGTGTGGATTGTTTGATAGTAAATTTTCTATTGGAACAGGCAGTTTTGCAACATTTGTTCAAATTATGAAATTTTTCATCTCTCTGTGCAACGGGAAGGGAGGACAGATTGAAATGAACCACAGGACTGTCACCTGGCCACGTCGGTCCTGTGCATTGTTTACCTACAGGCTCTTTCGTGTAGTCTCAGCAGTAGGGTGAGGTCCCTGGCAGCTCCTCCTGGTGCCCGTTAAGGTGACCTCATGGTGCCAACACCCAACCCCAGGTCCCATACATGCCAATATTCACATGCAATTTTAACTTGAAAAAAATCATGCTATTCCTTAAAAAAAAAAATTAAGAAAACCAAAAAAAAGCAAAACCCAGATGGATTCAGTGATCTCTTGCTCCTTCTAATGTAAGATACTACATTTTTGAAATGTTGATTTTCTCTTTTTAGTATTAGTCAGTAAAGAATATGAATGGTTAAAACAGAAATGTGAAAGAATCAGAGATAATTTGGACTTGAAGGCAGCTCAGTACTAGAACATTTGCCTAGCATGCATGAGGCACTGGCTTTAATCCCAGTACTCAAAATTAGTGATGATTTGGATTTTAGCCTAGATATATCTATACCTCATTTATGGAATTTAATGCCCTCATTTTTATTTTGTTATTTAAAAATATGTTTATGAATCCTATCAGGAAGTCTTTAGAGCATCTTGTTAGCAATAAAGTTGCAAGGATGATACCACATTTTTAAGAAACCTTTTTAAATTTATGCTACTAATAATCTAATTTTCTTTTAATTATTGGGTTTGTTTCCTTGACTGTCTTAAAACTTCACTTAAGTATCATTTTTTGGTGCATGCATGATAGATTCACCTCCTCACTTTTAAATCTCACAAATCAATCATTTTCCCTATTAGTGTCTTTCTACTTTAGGGGTTTTGAGAAGGAGGATAACAGAGCTTAACAGGATCAAAGAAAAAAGAATGAGTCTAAGTCAGAGAATGGTGAATGAGAAGGCACCGTGTGGCAGAGGCTTAAGAAAAAAGGCTCAAGAAGTAGGGTCTGATAATATCAGAAATGGCTTCCCACGCATGAGTAAAATTACAAAATAAATTATATGACACACCAACATATGAGTCCCAATAATTTTCAACTCAAATCAAAATAAAGATGATATACTAAGGATTAATATTAGTGTAGGAGACATTGGAATACACATAATCTAAATAAAGCATGAAATTATTATCAACTTTCCCACCTGGTCTATCCTTTCAAGACTCAATGGGAAACAGAAAATGTTCCATGAAGCAGGTCATCAAATCAACCATTTTGAATAAGTATAGAACAATCAATTTGGTAGAAATGTATCTTATTTTTTTGTAATGAACTGATGAACACTTTGTTTCCAAAAAAATATACCGTGCAGTGAGGCTAATGTAATGATCCCAACTGGATACTGTGTATCAAACAGAAAACATAGTGTGGATGAGAATCAATTACTGTTTTCTTTAAAATAATTGCAGTGTCAGTTTACAAGTTTAAACCACTTCAAACATATACAGTGAACTAAACAATGCAAACAGAAATACTCAAATGATCTACTGGATAAACAAACTTACATCATGGTCAATTCCTTTTATACATAGTGCAGGGTTCAGTGGAAGATGACAAGTATTTATATCTTGAAAGAATTCATTTAGTCTGCCAATCTCCTTTTTTAGTATCTCCTATGGAAAAAATCATTAGAAACAAACATTGAAGGAACTGTAAAGAACCTGACTCTTCTTTCAAGCTGTAATTTTCTTCTGCTGTTGAGAGGAGCCCTTTAGTGCAGGGCTGCAGATTGGATGACCTTCGGATCAGGCAGGTGATGTAGTCACCTGTGAGAAAGCCATAACCTAAGGACAATAAGCGTTTCTGGGGAAAACAGGAAGCAAAGAGCTCATGCCCTTTCTCAAGGACCTCAAAAATCAGTTGAAAGTGAATACCAAGCAAAGCAATGTAGTGTTCAAACAAAACGCAGTGAGTTGCAAATCCTGCTTTAAGTCATTATTAACATGACCCTTTTCTGATAATTTCCTGGAATATGAGTTTACACTCTCAAGATTTACCCTTAATAGTAATAATGCATTTTAGAGAAATATTCATGTTAGTAACAACAATGGCTGTTTTAGTCTCTTTCCCATGGCTGCACACAATACCTGACACACACAACTTAAAGGAGAAGAGTTTATTTTGGCTCACGGTTTTTGCTCATTGTCAGCTGTGGTGCCGAGACAGAAAAAGGATGGCAGAGGTGCATGGTGGAGGAAAAGTTGCTTAACCCTTGGTAGCCAGGAAACAGAGAGAGAAGGAAGAGCCAGGGAGAGGGATATATCCTTCCTGGTCTTGCCCTCACTGACCCACATCCAATCAAGGACCACTTCCTGACAGCACTTTCAGCTACTGAAGTCATCCATGCAAAAATCCACTGATAATGTCTAGGACCCTCATGATCCAATCTCTTTCCATATTCCTGAGAACTTGGGGGACATATAGAGGTAAATCATAACAATGACCAAAAAAGACAGATGCCTAATGTGGTCAGTATACACATACAGAGAGTTTACTGGCTGCCAATAAGTATGGAGTTCTGATATTTATTTTCTTCCATACCACAGTGGATCTGTGGAAAATCAGATACCTCAAACCTTTAGTGTATATCCTTTGACAAAGAGGTAGGAAACCATCACAATTCATTGAGAAACAACAAAAAGTGGTTTTTTTGCCTAATTTTGAACACTAAACCCAATGTTGAAGGTGAGGCTATCAGATTAATAACATTAACTGACTCCTGAAAATTTCCTACTGTTACTCTTGGGTCACTAGCAAATAAGAGAATCTATTATCCCCAGAACCCAGAAGAGCATGAGGTCAAGTATACCACTGAATTCTTTCTGTATCTGTTCTCCTGGCCTCATCTGCGCATGAGTTTGCCTGCGAATTACTGTGGAAGGAAAGCTCTGCTGCCCTGTTCATGTAAAAACTTATTCTCCATATTATACAGTTAGATTTAATTTAGTGCTTTTTCTTTAAAGTAGAACAACAAAAAAATAGCTATCAGTAACTTAAATTGTGAGAATTTACAAATGCCTCCTCTTCTTTTCTCTCCTAATTTTCACATGAAGACATGTTTTCACAAAAACTGCCAGTAAAGGCAAGAGAAATATATTTATTTGAGTGAATAATATCAGTATCACTTAAAACTTGAAACAAATTGCCAAAAAAGTCACTAGAATTATTTAATCATAGTGTATATCTTACATTTGTGAAGGATGTTTTAAAATTAACATATAAATTGTACAAGTTAATGGGTTTCACTGTGACATTTCCATATGTGGTGGGTTGAGCATGTGTAACTTATGTGTAAGATTTTAAAAAATAAGAGATAAAGGTCAAACAAACACAAGCTTCTGTAAATTTTAAACCAATTTATTTTACTTGCTACCAACTTTGTGTCCACCACTAGACAATAATTAAGAAGCTTGCAAGCAAAAGAAATAAATCTTAGAAGTTTTAATGTTGGCGCTGCCCACCACATCGTACACTTTAAGGTTTCTCTTTGTGCCCAAAATTTACATATCTCCCATTTAAAAATAAATTCCAGGTTTGAGTTTTTTATTTGCCAATTTCTCCTGTAAATTCTTTATTTTTTCCTCCTGTGAAAAATAGCATAATTTTTGGTACTTCTATTACATGAAGTGATTTCTAATTAAGAAAATTTCTGATTTGGAAAGAATCCTGGGATACTTTGCTATTATCATTTTCATATTTTGTCAGAAATTCTTGTTGATTTTAGGCAGTAAAGAAAATCTCTGGTTTCCTTTGAGCACAAGGCTCATGTTTAAGACACCTTTCTATCATTAACTTCTAGTGAATAATTAGTACTCAATTTTTATTAAATAATGTTCTTAATGCAATGTCTACTATCTCCTTGCATGTAGAATGCTGAACTTAAAAGACTCTACTTAATGGTCTACATCAGGGAAGAGAACTACTGATGCAGATAATTAAAAAGAGAAAACATTCTTCTGTTAGATCAAGAAAAAGAATAGCCAGTTCCACTATTACATAATTCATGAGATAAAGGCACAGTACTTTGGCTATCACATGTGGATCTTAATATAAAACTATTACTTTCCATATAACATTAATTAGTGTGATTTACTTTACCTTATTTGTTTTGAACATAAAGTTTTTAAAGTATGACTTTCGTTATGGCAATGTTAGGAAAATCAAGACCTAGATTTTATACATTCCCCCTGAATCCTGTTTGTGCTTTTACCATTTTTAAGATTACATAGAAGGATCAAGATGTAATATATTGTGGTACCGATTCCCCTTAATGGATGTATTATGTATCACAAATACTAATACGATTCCCCTTAATGGATGTATTATGTATCACAAATACTAATAAAAATAGAAAAAAAATTAGGTCTTTAAACTAATAAAAAAAATTAGGTCTTTAAACTAATAAAAAATAAATAGTTTTTAAATCCTTAGTTTAAAGTATTTTATTATTAGGTCTTTTGTGATCAAACTGTCTTTAAATTAGTTCTTTATTTTTTTCTCATTCAGTCCCTTTCAAGTGCTATGTAGCTACTTGTATCAAAAAACCATGTCCTGGTGATAGGCACTACTATTAATGTTAAGAAAATAAATGGGAAAAAACTGAACTATAATTGATTTAAGTGTCCCATATCTAAGTGCAGTCAATGTGTTTGCCTTCTAAGCTATGAAATTAAAACTTAATTGAACTAATGTTTAAAGAAATAATGATCACTATGCCAAGATTGATTTGTGAACAAACCTGTCTTTGAGAATCACCAGCAGACTTGACTTTTTCCCCAATGTCTCTCAGAATTTTGATAAGTTTCTCCTCCTTGGAAAATTCATCATTCAAGGCTTTTCCTACACAGAACTGGAGAGCAGCCAGCAGCTTCTGATACCAACTTTTAAAATAAGCTTCATTTTGTGCATCCTTTAGCAGCCTGAAGGGAAGAGAGAAAGAGAATTCTGGAATCTAAAGCTCATGTTTTAACCACCTCCAGCAGGAACAATATGTGTATTTCAGACTAATCGATATTTGGTGGTTTGGGGCGGTTTAACAGCTAAGAATGGTAAAAGTGTTATTTGTTTGTTGGCAGCCGTCAAATTCCATCTGATAGCTAATGAGATTCCAAGGGTGAAGAATCAATAAGAGACCTCGCCTTTTCTCACTTCAAGTCACAATGCACTGTTTGTTTGTTTAGCCTTCTTAATTCAGCAACAAATACTTATCTCAAGAGCATCTGTAACTTGTTAAAATATGTACAAAGACCTTTGGACAGTTTTTAAAAAGTGATGATACTGCCTTGTGATTAACCATCAAGCCCACCATTCTCCTGTTTCTCATATTGTAATATCTCCTCACTGTCTCCTTCCCCAGTACTTCCTGTGGGAGCTTGGAGGAAGACACTGTAAATGCAAGCACATCCGCGACCTCCAAACATTTCTGGATCCATTCCCAGTTCGACAACTTACAAGTTACTTAACCAGGTTAAGATATTTCTTTATCTGTAAAATGAGGTAAAAATCTGATTCTGTAGAGCGTCATCGGACACAAAGTGAGCTCACATATTTGGGAGTGTTCAGCGCAACTTTTGTTAAGTACCAGACATTAAAAAATCATGAGTCTATCTGTACCCTGCAGCCCCCCTCCATGTCAATCAATGTCTGGAAGGCTGCTCTTGCCATTTAAATGGAAGGCATAGAGCCCTAGAAATACAGGAACTTTGCAGGATAGTGGAGCAGGGACAGGTATTTGATTACTCTGCCTGCCCTGTCAGAATTTTTATTGCCTTGGAAACCATTAGAATAGTATGCTAAAACTCTACCTTCTATTATTCCCTAAAAGCCTGAAACAGAACAGAAGACCAGTTCCTTGAATCTTAACTTGTCTCAGACTGATTCTTCTAATCTCTAGTTTTATCTCTAGTTTTCTCCTCCTCTGAAAAATAGCATTCAAGAAACTAGAAGAAGGGGGCTGGGGATTTAGCTCAGCGGCAAAAGCACCTGCCTGGCAAGCGCAAGGTTGTGAGTTCGGTTCCCGGTACCAGAGAAAAACCAAAAAAAAAAAAAAAAAAAAAAAAAAAAAAAAAAAAAAAAAAAAAAAAAAAAAAAAAAAAAAAAAAAAAAAAAGAAAAAAAAAAAAAGAAACTAGAAGAAAACGATGAGAATGGAATACTGGGGCTGTGGGGGAGTGTTGGTGTAGTAGCCAAATATATATGTTTCATTTTGCATTTATAATTTTATATCTTTGCCTACAGTGTATTATGTTAGACAGTCTAATAAATACATTCTTATTTTTCAGTGTTTTCTGTTCATTCACATTCAAGTTTAAAAAGTAGGTGAATGAGTGCACTTTAAAAAGTGAATGTCTACTCTTTTGACATCCTTATGAAGCCAACTTATATTTAAGAAGCTCTTTTAATATAAACTGTATGTAAAATAACAGTGCTTATATATTCATGGAAAATATAAAACACAAATACATACAAACCTTCAGGGAACTAATGACATAATAACAAGAAGAATATATTCTTTTGATACCCAGTTATTTCCAGTGGAAGAAAAAAAGCTGACCATGAAGTTTCCTATCCACCCCATGATAAGATGTTTTAAAATGTCAGGTATGTAGTAAAGGAATCATATCACTATTGGATGACCTGAGGAAAAGATGTTTTCTATGCATATAAATGTGAAGTTGCAAATGCAGCAATGCACACAAAATTGAAGATATTTTAGGTAGCATCATGTACCTCTCAGATTCTCACGGTCCTCTCAGGACTATTTTATAGCCTACATAGGTTTCAATGAAATAGGGAGTGAATGGAGGGCAAACACCTCTATCTCAATCAATGTGAGCATTTTCACACATGTTGAATGTTGTTACTTGTTTTTTGCAGTATTTTTAACTGGTCTAGTACATGAATATAACTCTCCAACCACCCAACAGCTATATACATTACTAAAATAGAAAGGAGTTTTTCTGTATAGATGAAACCTGTAACTCTTTACTAAAAATGAATGAAAAGATATATGTACAGTTGATGTCATAAGGACCAGCAGAACTGCATAGTTAATTTGTGTTCATAATACCCTTATTTCTTATTCTATTACTATTGAATTTGCTTCTGACACAAGCAATGTACTTGCTTCACCCTGGCTCATAGGGAAAAGACTCAGTTTGATTCCTGATTCAGAATAAGACACAACAGGACAGATTTACAGAGAGAATAGGTGACTAGGTTCTAAAGAGCATAAAAGCTAAGAAAATTCAGTGCATTCTATTGTGATTATTTTCCTTGGAGAGTGTATCTTACTGAAATGCTACATCGCTTCCAAAGCTGTGTGTCCTCCTGGTGAGCTCTGGTCCAGGTTGTATGGCTTTAATACAATACGGAAAGAATTTGTTTTTACACATTGCAGAATTGGAATCATACAGTACTGAAGATGACCATGGGAGGTCACTTATTCTATTCTTGCACCCTTAAGCACAAATACTTTTACTGATAAGAGAAATTAACATAGCCCTCGATTTTCAACAACTTCAGAGAAAGCTGGACTACAGAGTTTGGGTGGACGGTGTCTCATCTCTGTATCACTGACCTTCAGTGCAAGGAAGTGGAGAGTCTCTCATGCTGTGCTTTTACCCATTGCCTTTATTTGTCAGCCTATAGAAAACAGCTGGCCACCGTCCTTTGAGCATTACAGAAATCCTTTTCAAAATACTCTGTACTGTGGGAGAAGCAGTACTGCTTATAAGAAATAAAATGTCTAAAAATAAAAGTTAAGGTCAAAGTCCTAAGGTGTATCATGTAAGAATTGCCATTAAAAGGCTGATTATTTAAGATGTAGGTAATACGATTATGTGCAAACTGTGAGTTAAAACTCAAAATTGCAGAGACTTGCTTATCCTAATGTCTGGCAGATCCAGCTGTGATTCACTTTGATATTATTTTGTACACCTGCCTCCGTGACTTACAGACAGGGAGCAATGGCAACATTAAAATAAAAATAAAAGCATAAAATCTTGATGATAAAAGACTTTGACAATGCCAAGTCCAATAGAAAGCAAGAGGGAAGAACACAGAACTTGTGACTGAGCACATTTGTCATGAAGGTACATGAAGACTAAATTAAGTGGATTGTGGTGGACTTGGAGACACCTAAGATTGTCACAAGCCTGAGCTATCACAAAATGGAGATTTTCCTTAAAAATTACAGAATTTTTACAATTCTCCATACATGTAGCTTCTTCTGGGCATTTCATTGACTTGTGAGAGGCACAGAACAGTCTAGATAGTTCACATTTCATCGGTTCACCAGCAGGACCGACCAGAGTAATCACACCATCCCAGCTCTCTTCTGTTCACAAATCCCTGCAGTCTTGCTCTTAATGGTAGTTCTCAGCAGTGCAATATCCCACACTGTAGATTCAGCCTTAGAGTTTTACCACTTGCATGTTTCCTGTGAGTGAAGAGGGGAAACGTCATCTGGTAGCAGGAAAGAATGAGTTACACAGTGAAGATGAGTGATTTCTGGTCACTCCAGGACTTCCTTTTCCCATTTCTTCTTTTATTATTACTTTACATGGGTTGAGGTGTGTGAAACAGGAGACAAATGATTAGGAAGGTCAGAGGATTCTAGAATGTGACTTCTGCAAGTGTACTTAGAATCTGGGGACAGATGATGAAATCCAATGCTCCATATGGAATAAAATTAATATGAATATTAATTTTAAGATTTCAGTAATTAAGAAATAAGTAGCGTATGTCTCCTAGCATTAGTAACTTTACTTCTAAATGGCTTATAGATTTAATATTTCTCTTAAGTGGGGAACTTGATATACCGTATGGTTCTTATGAAGACAATGATGCCTAGCCCAGTACTTCTGCTGAACTTTGCATATCAGGAGCATTCCATGAGCCAAGGTAGAAATGTGAGCTCCAATCAGTTTTTATTTTGCCATATTTATCAATAAACCCCTTTATAGCAGCTCAAATGTAAAACTACTTACAAAAGGAATACATACAAAAGAATTAAGTCTACACTGGAGAGATTGTATACTTTTTTAGAATACTTAAATATATGAGAGGGGCCCAAGAAGTATGTAACTGACTGTGTTATATGCATATTATAATTCCTACAGCTAGTAATTATTTCCATCTCCAAAGTAATCTCTTTGGAATGTTATATGCTCACAGTTTTCACATTTCCACTGTGTCCCAATTTTATGTTACGTTTAATTGTTTTCTCTAACTTTATACTTTCTCCTCTGAAGATATGACACTCCTATACACCTTGCCAAGTAATTTCCAGGATGTTCTTGTAGGCTGGACATACTTCTCCAGCCTATTTCTGTTTGACTATGTGATCTACCTTGGTTAGTAGAATGGGACTGGGCAAAGTGTACATGCATGTCCTTGCAGATGCTTTAAATGTGCTGTCATGGCTTGGTTTTGCCCCTTCTACCTCTGTTTGGGGCCATAAGGACAGCTAGGCACTGCCCTGGCATGAGAAGACTATGCAGAGCAGAATGAGCTTTGAAGCTCAGAGTCAGGAAGAGCCAAGTAGAACAGCAGGGTTTCAGCCTGAAGGCCGCAGGCCTGTGAAATAGCTCTTGGTTCCTGTAAGCTACTGAAGCTTTGAGGTTGTTTGTTGCTGTCGTTATAAAAATTGATCAATATGCACAACTTCATATTATTTTTCTTTGTTGTTTTTGTTATTATTTGTTGAATTACCTTTAGAATATGCAACATATTTTTAAACGTCTTCAATGGTAGCCCTGAGGATCATTTCGGGCAAACTTAATTACTGAAAATAAACAAAAAAATTATTTGGAGCCCAGTCCAGTGAATTAGAGGAATGACCAGTTTGAGTATAATTTTTCAGATTAAAAAAACTACAAAAGCAATAAAAATAGCTTTTTTATGGATCATAAAAAGTC